GAGAGAGAGAGAGAGAGAGAGAGAGAGAGAGAGAGAGAGAGAGCCGCAGGCGCCTCCCACACCAAACCCGACTATTCAATCAAATTACTCACTACTGTCAAATTAGCTGCGCTCAGCGAACCCAAACCAGGCTATGGACCATGGAGAGAGTCAGCAGAAAAACAATTAAAAATAGCAAAGATTCTGCTGTTCATACTCTTTTCAGGGTGCGATTTTATAGCGGGGTTTTGGGGGGGGGTTTGTTGACAGCATTTCAGTGAGAACAAAAGTTAGAATACAAGTCCAGTGAGGGCTAATAAATGCACGCAAGACGTCGCCATTGCTTGAGGAGGTAACCACAGCAGCTGGTCTTATCGTCGACAGAAGTAGAGCTAAAAGTGTTATTACGTTATAGATTTACACACCACAAATATACCACACAAAAAAACCGGCTTTAAAACCATTTCTAATTGCTTTAAGAGCGCCAAAATACTTTTTATCTCGCGTGGGACGATTGCGCCCAGAAAACTGCTGACAGAAAGCCTTTAAAATCACACTGACAGCCATTACATAATTTGCACACTGATCATGTTTTGAAATATATAATATCCTGTCATTGAATAGCGTTTATAAATGTCAGCTCAGATCATTACTTTAATGTCCCACAGCTCATTTTGTGCAGTAAAGAAAGCAATTCAGCATTTAAGGTGGTGGGTAACTAAAATAAACTTAAAATACCTTACTAGCAAAAATATTTTTGGCTGTCTGTCATTTCATGTTGCTTATAATTCACTGACAAATCACATGCTGCTGGGAATAAAAGCACAATGCAGAACATTCCCATAGACGCATGATATCTGTATTACATTCATTTAACTTAGTTTGAACTAATTTGATACCCCCAAACTGAGGCCGTCCCTTGTATGTTTTGATTCTTTTACCTGCAGACATCTCAAGCTGCTGTCATTTCTTCAACAGGAACCAGAAATGCAAGTGTGTTTGTAATTACAGGCTGTGTGATCAGGTATTTCTGCTTATGTATCTGTACAGGTATGTGTGTGTGGTTTGTGTTTCTGCGGCTTTAAAACCATTTCTAATTGCTTTAAGAGCGCCAAAATACTTTTTATCTCGCGTGGGACGATTGCGCCCAGAAAACTGCTGACAGAAAGCCTTTAAAATCACACTGACAGCCATTACATAATTTGCACACTGATCATGTTTTGAAATATATAATATCCTGTCATTGAATAGCGTTTATAAATGTCAGCTCAGATCATTACTTTAATGTCCCACAGCTCATTTTGTGCAGTAAAGAAAGCAATTCAGCATTTAAGGTGGTGGGTAACTAAAATAAACTTAAAATACCTTACTAGCAAAAATATTTTTGGCTGTCTGTCATTTCATGTTGCTTATAATTCACTGACAAATCACATGCTGCTGGGAATAAAAGCACAATGCAGAACATTCCCATAGACGCATGATATCTGTATTACATTCATTTAACTTAGTTTGAACTAATTTGATACCCCCAAACTGAGGCCGTCCCTTGTATGTTTTGATTCTTTTACCTGCAGACATCTCAAGCTGCTGTCATTTCTTCAACAGGAACCAGAAATGCAAGTGTGTTTGTAATTACAGGCTGTGTGATCAGGTATTTCTGCTTATGTATCTGTACAGGTATGTGTGTGTGGTTTGTGTTTCTGTCATTGTGTGTGTTGATTTTTTGTGTCATAAAGCTGTCATGCGTCTCCTGAAGGCTGATTAGCCGAGCACCAAGTGTTGTCGAGAGTTGTAATTCTGTAGAATAAGCTCCAAAACAAAGTCTCAATTACTTTTAAAGCTACAAACATGTTTGCAGTGAGAACTTTATGAGACAATAAAGAGAAGAAACCTATTCTTAATTACCAGAGGAGTGTGTGTGTACATGTGAAGGAAGCAAAGACAGAGAGTTCTTAGTAGCTGTCCATCTGTGTTTGAGGAGGGCTGTTAACCTGCGAGTGGTAAAATCAGCATGCAAACATGAGGATCCTTAGTAACATCAACACTCTGTTCTCTGACACCAGGGTTAAAGACATTCAGTAAAAAGACACATAAACATCACCCATTCAATAATAACCCCTGTTAGCCTATTTCAAAATGCTATCCTCTGTGAATACGAATGCAGTGTCACTATTATTATATCTATTAGAGCCTTGAGAAAGAAGATTGATTTTATTGATTGACAAGTTGGATGCAGCACCGTAAGTATGACTTATGACCCCGGCAAGGGTGTTTATGGGAATTTTAGTGCCTTGTTGGCAGCATGTGGTAAAAATGACTGCTACAACTGTAAAGGCTGAAAGAGGGAGAAGACATGTGATCAGTGACTAAAATGTATTTACAACTTCTTACAGTTAATTTCAGTGATCAGACCAAAAAAAAAGCCCTGTAGTTTTTAGCCCTGTATTTAGTGTGATGATGTTAAATTGACCATGATCCCAGTTAACCACTGTCAAATGGCTCTATTAGAAATAACATTCTAATAATAGAAACTTTCTAATAATATAAAGTTCAAAAGAACAGTGCTTATTTGAAATATAAAATTACTGTAACACTATAAATGTATTTACTGTAACCTTTGATAAATTTAATGCATATATATATAATTTTCTATTTTGAATAAATGCTTTTCTTTTGAACTTTCTGTTGAAAGGATCCTGGAAAAAAAGCTTTTTCAACTCTGATTATAATAAAAATGTATTAAGCACCAAATCACTGTACAGTATATTTACAGTATACACACATGATTGTTTTGAAAAAATATCTGTAATAAAAAAGTAATTAAAAAATAGAATATAAGTTATGATAATAATTAAAATAATATTAATTATATGTATTTATTTGGAATTTAGGCAGTATAGTCAGGCATTAATTATTATTATTATTTGCATTTATTTGGATCTTAGGTGGTATAATCAAGCAGTAATTATTATTATTATTATTATCGTTATTATTATTAATATTTATTTGGCAGTATAGTCAGGCAATTATTATTGCAAATTAAAATAAAAGCCCTGACCACTGTCAGTGTTTTTTTTTTTTTTTTAAATGTACACTATGTCTTACATAAATGATCTGGTCAAAAAGAGAGTGATGCATAAGTGAAATGAGCATGCGTGTAGTATAGGAAAAAAAAGTAAAAACGCTCAAGGCTGTACAGAATGCAGCGTCAGACATTCTGAGACCTGAAGAACTGAACGAATGGGTGACCTCCACCCCAAGAGCTCAGTGAACCCCTGAACTCTCTCCCCAGATTCACCCTTCAGTCTAACCCCAGCCTCTGGCTACAACACACAAAGGAGCGGAGGTGAGGATGAGGGCCTCCCTTCACAAGAAGTTGAATATTAAACTGGGCTGCAATTATCCCCTGAAAAACACTTTTCATGGATGGCTCTAATTCATAAGGTCCTTTGCGAGCACCTACTGGCCATGTTTCACAACATCAGAGAGATAAGGATAGCGGTAGAGCGGTAGGAGATAATCACAAATCAATAACTCCCTCATTGATTACAGATGTGGCTAAATCCCTGAAAACAACCCAGGATGAGCATGAGATTTAAAGCATCGGTACACCACATGGGCTTTTAAAGTGTATGAAACGTGAAGAGGGGAGAGACAAGAGCGTCTGTAGAGTGTTTATGTGTGAGAGAGAGCATTTGTAAGATCTTTTTGCTAGTTCAGCTCTTATCAGTGTGCATACTTTTACTGATAACCTAAAGAGATGATAACATTCCGTTTGTTTTCTTTTGTTTCTTTGCAAATTGACTGTAAGTATTTGGATGAGTGTGTGTGTGTGTGTGTGTTGTACTGGTTATAAGTTCATTTTAGAGGAAAATCTTGAATATAAAATGAGCCATGTGTGAAGGTAGACATGTGTCAGATATGACAGCAGAAGTGAAGGTGATTATTTTCTACTTCCTATCCTAATCCTAATTGTTAACTCCACACCAGTTCTGCTGAATGGGAACAATGTGCCAACCTTCCCAATGCACATTCAGTTACCGTTCGCAAGTGTGTCCCTCAGCAAGGTATACAGAGTCTATCCTTCCTCTTTAGACCATGACCTGCACACACACACACACACACACACACACACACCGTCTGGTCAGCTATCCTTGTGGGGACTCTCCATAGGCGTAATGGTTTTTCTACTGTACAGACCGTATATTCTATTGCCCTACACCAACCCTACCCCTAAACCTACCCCTCACAGGAAACTTTGTGCATTTTTAGATTTTCAAAAAACTTCATTCTGTATGATTTATAAGCTTTTGTACCCGTGGGGACCACAATTTAGGTCCCCACCGTGACACGAGTCCCCATGAGTCTGTGTGCAGTCAGGTTTAAGTCCCCACCAGGATATATAAACCAGTACACACACACACACACACACACACACGCACACACACACATATATACACACCTGGATCCGTGAATAATGCTCTCACAAAAAATGTGCCTGAGTAAAGGTATTGTCTTTGGACTCCAGAGTTTGTGCATTTCTGTCCGATACAGAGAGGAAACTGGCATATCTGTGTCACTAGTTCTATTTCTGTATACAGTATCTGTACGTGGTTATCTGCCAGTACTGTAATGAATAATCAATTAGATGCTGCATCAATGAGATGTGAAAAGGGGTTTGAGCATAAAGGACACAAGAGTAGAAATGAGTTTCTGGCAAGAGCCTTTTCACTCGAGGAGGCAAATGTTTTTAATAACATTAGCTGAACAACAGTTAGTAGAAATACAGTTGTGGTTAAAATTTTACTTACACTTTGCAGTATCTGTATCAGTACCTGAATAAGATATTT